AAAAAAGGGAATGACAATCTTACAGAAATCCATCTTAGAAATCAATAATAATCCATGACAATAATCCGATGTATTGATTGTTCTGAAGAATGTCCAGGATATAAAATTGAAAAAGGGACAATACTCAAAATAATTGTGCCATATGGAACATATCCTTATGAGATTGAAGTTGAAACAAATTATAGTAATGAACATAATTTTCAAGGAAGCAAATATTATAAATTAGAAAGGTTTGAGAATTAATAAATAAATAAAGAGGAAGAAAGAATAACAAAATAGTGAATCAAAAGAAGGGATATATCAATTTAAAAGTTTAATTTCAATTAAAAAGTCAGGAGTATTTAAAATAAGAATTAAAGAAAAGAAAGAAAAGAATAATATTAAGACTATTTATTTCAATGTATATCCAGAAATTCAAGTTGGAAATAAAAAAATCCCAATTAATGGATTAACAATTCAAACACATATTGTTAAAATAATGGGAAAAATTGATACATGGGAAGAGCATTACAAAACAATGAAAGAGTGTGGATATAATTGTATTCATTTAACACCGATTCAAAAGATTGGACCAAGTGGGTCAGCATATTCTATTAGTGAACATTTAGATATAGAAAATAACATATTTAAAGAAGAGATGAGTAAAGAAGAAAAATATCAAAAAATAGAAGAAAGTATTTATCAATTAAGAAATAAATATGAAATAGGAAGTATAATTGATATTGTATTAAGTCATATTTCATCCAAATCACCATTAGTAATTGAACATCCAGAAATATGTTATACTATTGAAAAATGTCCACATTTAAAAATAGGATATAAATTTGATTCATTAATTCATCAATGTATTACAGATATTATTAATGATAATTATCCAGAAGGATTAGGTATATTTCATACAGAAAATGATGTGTATAGATTTATGGAATATTTTAAAGAAAAATATATTATTCCAGGAGAATTTTGGTTATATTATGTTATTGATGTAAATAAACATAAAGAGGAATATTTAAAATATGAAAAAGAACATAAAGAAGGAAAAAGAGGAAAAGAAGGAAGTCCAGAAGAATTAGCTAAAAGACTAGAAAAATATGTAATGGTAGATGGAAGTTATGAAAAGAATCATATTCGAATTAATATTGAAAAAGGATTTGAAGAAGTTCCTAATCTAGAAGGATTTATAAAAGCAATAGATGTATTAAATGTAGATAATTATAGAAAATATGATGAAGATATAAATGCAGCAATTCAGAATTGTACTAATACAATTAAATATAAATGTTTTGATGAGGCAGGACCAAAAATAGAAAAAGTAAGTAAAGAAGAACATATTTTACCATATTATTTTGAAGTAATAGATGGGAAAAATAGTAAAGGAGAAAAAGTTCATATAGTTGCAGCACATCATGGATGGGTATTTGGAGGAGATCCATTTTTTGATTTTGTTGGAGATAATAAATCAAAAGTATATATTAGAAGAGAAGCTGTTGTATGGGAAGATTCATTAAAATTAAATTATGGAAGAAAATATGAAGAAAATAAATTTCTTTGGGATTATATGGGAGAATATGGAAAGTCTAATGCGAAAATTTTCAATGGATTTAGACTTGATAATTGTCATAGTGTTCCGTTAGAAGCATTAGAATTTATAATAGAAAAATCAAGAGAAGTTAATCCTGAATTAATTGTTCTTGCTGAATTATTTTCAGATAATCAAGCAGCAATAATGGAATATGTTGTTAGATGTGGAATTCAAGGATTAGTTAGAGAAGGACAAAGAGGAAGAAATCCTGAAGAATTAAAAGGAGTTGCATATCAAAGTGGATGGTTTAAACCAGTTGGAGGTATTTTAGAAGAAAGTCTTTATGAAGAATTACCAGCAGAAGTTCAACCAATGGATGGATGGACATATGATTTAACACATGACAATGAACCAACCGAAGGGAATAGAAATAGTAATGATGCTCTTTCAACAGCAGGAGTTGTTTGTATGACATTAGGATGTATAGGAAGTACAAGAGGATATGATGAATTAGTTCCATATCGAATTGATTGTGTTAAAGAAGAAAGGAAATATAAAATATATAAATGGGGAATAGAAAATACGGTAGGAATTTCAGCAGGGAAAAAAATAATGAATGAATTACATGAACGGATGGGAATTGAAGGATATAATGAATTTTATTGTGAGAGTAATGGAAATATAATTTCAATAACAAGAAGAAATCCTAAAACAAATAAAATTATTGTGATGTATGTTCATACTTCATTTAAAGGAAATTATTCATCAAATCCAAGTACAAAGGAATATAATATTCCAAATTATCAAATAGATAAATTTCTATTTTTTGGAGCATTAACAACAGGAATGTTAAGTAATATGGAAAATAATGAAAAAGAAATTAGTGGATATCAATGTATTTGTGATATTACAAGAGATTATAATATTGTTAAGAAATTTGTAGAAATTAAAAATAATAATAAAGGAGTTGAAATAAAATTTGAACAATTTCCAACAGGTAGTGTTGTATGTATTGAATTAACATTAATAAAAACACCAAAAACAAAATGGGAAATTCCAAATGTTCAATTAACAGCAAGTGAAATTAATGAAATTCTATTTGAATCACCAGAAGAAATGGGTGTTAATAAATTTGAAATAACAGAAGGAAAGTATTTAAATTTTATTGGAATAGGAGGAATAATACCATTATTAAGTAATAATCTTTCAGAAGGAATTTATCAAAAATTAAGAGAAGGAATATTAGAACATCTTATACCATATTTAACACAAAATATGAAAAAGAATAAATTAGGAGAATATATTGAAAAAGAATTACAAGAAATAAAAGAATATCCAAGATTTTTAATTCCAAAATATTTTACAGCATTTATTAAAAAAATATATAATTTTATTGTTCAAAGAACATTTGAAGGACAATTAAGAACAACAGCACTTCAATTTTATGTTAATTGTAAAGGAACACCACTTATTAAAGAAGGATTAATTCCAGAACATATTCATATTGAAAAAGAGTCATTATGTGCAGGATTTCCACATTTTAATACAGGATATATGAGAAATTGGGGAAGAGATACATTTATATCATTAAGAGGATTATTACTTCAAACAGGAAGATTTACTGAAGCAAAAAATACAATTAGAGGATATTTATGTGCTATGAGACATGGACTTATTCCTAATTTACTTGATGGAGGAGATCATTCACGATATAATGCTAGAGATGCAACATGGTTTTGTATGAGTGGGATTGTAGATTATTGTAGAATGGCACCACAAGGAATAGAAATTTTAAAAGAAACTGTTTATAGATTAGATTCAAGTCATGAAGGAATTACAAGAATTAACAAGAATAAAAAAAGAGTAATGACAGTTGCAGAATGTATGCAAGAAATTTTAGAAGATCATGCAAATGGAATTCATTTTAGAGAATATAATGCAGGACCACAAATTGATTCAGTAATGACAAGTGAAGGATTTAATATTGACATTGAAACTGATTTAAGTACAGGTATTATTAAAGGAGGAAATGAATGGAATTGTGGAACATGGATGGATAAAATGGGAAGTAGTCAACGAGGAGGAAACATGGGACATCCAGGAAGTTCTAGAGATGGAGGAGATGTTGAAATTGAAGGATTATTAATGAAAGTATTACATTGGATTAATACATCAAAAGCATTCCCATATGATAGTGTTAAAGTAAAAATGTATGGAGAATATTCATATCAAAAATGGGAAAAATTATTATATTCTAATTTCCATAAATATTTTTATATTCCAAAAGAAATTAATCAAGATAAAGAATATTGTATTGATACTACTATAGTTAATAAGAGAGGAATTTATAAGGATGTTTATGGAAGTACAAAGAAATGGCCTGATTATCAACTAAGACCAAACTTTTTAGTTACATTAGTTGAAGCACCAAGTTTATTTGTTGGACATGAAGAAGAAGTTAAAGAAGCATTACGGGTTGTAAGAAAATATTTAGTAGGACCTCTTGGAATGAAAACTCTTGATCCTACTGATTGGAATTATAAACCTGATTATTATAACACTGACACAGATGACTATTCTACAGCAAATGGTTTGAATTATCATAATGGACCTGAATGGATTTGGCCATATGGTTATTATGTTATGGCAATGTTAATGTATAATCCAGATAACTTGAATAAAGATGATTTACAACGATATTGTAGATCTTTAATGTTTAATCATTATAAGTATATCATTCATGATAAATGGTTAAGTCTTCCTGAACTAACAAATTATAATGGTGCAAAATGTTTTGCTTCATGTGATTCACAAGCATGGAGTATAGCTACAATTCTTGATGCCACTATAAGAATTGAACAACTCTAATTAACGTATGGTTAATTTAGACGGTTTTATTTTTCTAGTATTGTATTTTTTCTTTATAAGTTATAAAAAGGGTGACTCAAAGAGTTATATCAATAATTGTCACTTTATCCATTTATTAAAAGAAGAAATAAGTGAAATTCTTTTATTGGTTATCATTCCATGTAATGTATTATATTGGTTATTGTTTGTGTTTGGTTTTATTATTATTCAGACTAAAGATATTTTTATTGAAAAACAATTTGATTAAGCTTATTATTTGTTTAAACATGGTATTTTATGTTTACAAATGAAAGTAATATTCTTTTTTATAGAAGGTCATTTATTTGTTATATCTTATATTTATAAGCACCATGCCAATAATTAATGAATATTTAATATTTACATAGAGTTAATGTTGTTTTATGAATAATAAAAAGTGGATTTTTGTGATGGTTAATATGTTGTTTTTCTTTATTTTTGATTTAGACTTGTAACAGTGTTCAACAGTTTATTTCAATCTGACCATCATTGGTTTATGATTATGTTCATCATCTTTTTTTTTAAAGAATATCAGTTCATTTGGTTTTATTTAGTATTACTGTATAAGTTATAAATTATCATATTAAAAATATCTTAGGAGCTAAATCAACAAATAAAATTTCTTGATTTAGTTAGTTTCAAACTAGTCATCAAGAAAATAATTCAAGTATGAACAAAAAGAGATTCTGTTGAATGTCTATTTCTGTTCTAAAGATACATGTGGTGTTATTCAAATACAGAATATTTTATTTGAAAAAAGAAAGACAATCTAACTTCTTTTCTGTTACAATCAATCTGTATCAAACATTTTTACAAGAATAAGAAGGTATTGTTAATAGCAGAATTATGTTAAATGAAGGTAACATCGGAAAAATTATATAAACTATGGAATTCTTAAGATTTTTATAGTTGGTTAATAGTATATTCTAATTTATTACAACGTTCATGTATAGAATTTCT